CAGAAACAGACCTCCACATCCGTAAAATAAATTAGTCTGAGATAAGACAGACAAAATATTAATTAAGGCTGCATTTCAAATGCTTCATCCAGCCCCTGACATCTCACTGTTTATCTGACCCATCTAAATCTTCTCAGGGATAATTTTTCTCTCCTTTTTCTTTCTAATTACCTACTCCATCTTTTTCCCTCCTACTTCTCAGCCCAGCCAGCTCCTTCCCTGTAGACACCTCATAGACCCTTTTCCTCCTGCCTGCAGGTGTCCAGCAAGGGTCTGCTCCCCTTCATGCTGTGACACGGCAGTCCTTTCCCTGCCTGATTTGTGCCACATGCTGTTTTCAGTCTTGTATTTTCCCAGGTCAGAAAGCACTTCAGTTCCATCATCTCTCCTGAAAACCTGAGGGTATCTTACAGCATTTTAGAACAGAAATTATGCTTTTTTTTTTTTTTTTTTAAACAACCAACTGACTGTCTAATGCTGCTTGGGAGAGAGGAAGAAGTAAGGTGAGTAGGTAGAAGTTTTCTTCAAAACAATGCAACTATTTAATGAAGGAAAACCGGGTTCATGTATGACCAGTGGCTGGGACAACAATCTGTCAAATCACACATTCATATCTATGGTGCACACATCTGCTGGCCACACTTTGTCCCTTTCAGTACAGAAGCATCCCCAGTCACCGTGGTCCACCGCTTCTCCATACTGTTGTTAAACTAAGAAGGAACTGCAGGACATTTTTTCTTAGTGAGAAAGCAAAGTCAGGTGAATTAGCATCAGATAAGAACAAGGAGGGAACCATGGTTCCATGGAATTAATCACCTTAGCAAAATTATATGGCAGAGAGTGGTAAACCCCTTTGTTTTACCTGAATTAAATGTCCATGTGCTTCTTTTGGGTGAGTGTTTGCTCCATCACCATGTGTCAAGATACTTGGGAGGAATTTGATATTAGGTGACCTGAGCTTTGGGCAGTTGAACTGTGAAGAGCAGAAATAGAGAGCTGCAGAACATTTCTGTGGCAGACAACAGGTTTTTATGGGAACTGGGCTTTTTAAGCTACTGAGAGCATCACTCAGACCCAATGACACCTGCAATGCATACATGTCACAGGGGAGAGTACCTTAACATTAATGTTCATGCAGTATCATAAATATCTGCCCCTATTATCAATGAAATGAGATCTTCCCAGGAATGTTAGAGGGACCAACAGTTTCATATATTGTATGAAAGGAAAAGGAGAAAGAATGAAAGAGAAAACTGACAGCAAGCTGGTAAATTTTTGCAAATGACATTCAACTAAAAAAAAAAATACCCTATAAGAAACTGCTGAGAGACAGAAACCAAGTCAGAAATTGAGCAATGCTGTGGCAGATGAAATTTAACTCAGATTGAGGTAAGGTAATCTTGTTATCCATACTGGTGTGCCAGACTCATGGGATCATCTGAGGCCAGTGACTTAGAAGATATCATCAGAAACTGCTCAGTAAAAAGGCTTACCTGGTGCAGAGCAGCAGGTACAAGGACAGAGTGAAGGGACCTTTATGAAACAACAACACTGAAAAAAATTCCTACTATTTGGTAAACAATACCAGCATGTGGTGTGAAATTCCGCCTTGTTTTCTTCCTTGCAAAAAAATGGTCCTTTTTTATCACCTTTGAGCAGCAGCACTATCAAGACCTTTTTTCCTAGGATTTTTTTTTTTTTTATGGATTCTCTGATGAATAAGAACAAGTGGCATGGAACATCTGTCCTATGAAGAATGTCTGAGAGACTTGGGGTTGTTGAACCTGGAGAAGAGAAGGCTCCAGGAAGACCTTATTGCAGCCTTCCGGTCCTTAAAGAGGGCCTATAGGAAAGATAGGGACAGATTTTTTAGCAGGGCCTGTTGCAACAGGACAAGCATAATGGTTTTAAGCTAAAAGAGGGTAGATTCAGGCTAGATATCAGGAAGAGATTTTTCACACTGAGGGTGGTGAAGCACTGGAACAAGTTGCCCAGAGAGGTGGTAGATGCCCCATTCCTGGAAACATTCCAGGTCAGGTTGGACGGAGCTCTGAGCAACCTGATCTAGTTGAAGATGTCCCTGCTGCTTGCAGGGGGGTTGGACTAGGTGACCTTTAAAGGTCCCTTCCAACCCAAAGATTCTATGGTTCTATGATTCCAAGTCTGCACTGTTTCCTTTCCCTTGGGGAAGACACAGGAGAGATCTTTCTATACTCAGCTGCCCATTTTCATGAAGCAAATGTGGGAAGAATACAGCGGGACTGGCACAGAACAGAAGTGTCCCCAGGTTAAGTATAAGACATGGAACATTCAAGCAGAACAAACAAGTAGTTACCAGAAACTTAGGAAAGAATAAAACTCTTCTGATGCACTTTTCCTACTTAGGGAGTAGGAAATTAACACCAGAAGAATAACAGACACTTTGTCTTCCTAAATAGTGACATGGGAGAAGCTTCCCAAATCCCAGGAGGGAGCCTGCCTGCATGGAAAAGATTTGGGACCAATGCGCATCCGGAGACTAACTGAAGGAGAGCAAGTAATGTCCACCAACCTGCCGTTAAACTAATAACAGTAGCACTAATCATGTGAGCTACCATTTGCAAATCTCTTTTTCACTGGAGACTGTGCTTCTCATGTGTCCTTGAGCTCAGCCCCTCATACTGTTAGTTCCTCTCCACCTTTCAGTCCCGAAGCACTCCCTGATCTGCAGCACTGGCTAGGAACCTCCCAGGTGACAGGGGATCAGCAGTTTAGTGCCCTGCCTAAAACAAAACATCACTAACCAAAACAAAAGTTTCAAAGAAAAACATAACTTGAAAACATGGTGTAAATAACGTTTACAGGGTATATTATTCCCCGCCACTGAGCAGTCTCTTTTCTCTCCTGTTCTGTTAATGTCTTCTTTAGACAACGTTGGTCAAGTGCACTTCCACTATTCCACCCCTCTTCTCACAGGGCTTAACTTGCCTTTCTCTTGCCAGTTCATAACCTGATGAAACATGCTTGCAATTTCTTTGGGGACAGATCTTTATACCTGATGATTTTGCCCACTGCTTTCCAACCTGGGAGCTGTTGCACCACTTCTTTGTTCATTCTCTCTCCAGCCCCAATAGAAGCTTAGCCAATAACCTCCTGCCCTGTTCTTGTCACCACC